AGATTTCATGAACAAGTTGGATGAGTTTTAACGCGTTTTGGTTAATTTATTATTAGAATTCGTGAAAAAACATGTTTGAGCTCGTTAATCCACGCTGGCTTGAACATATTCTTTCATGAATTCCTGACAGTGATTAACCAAAACGCGTTAAAACTCATTCATTAACTTATTGACCAAACGTACACAAAGCGTGCTCGCGTCTCTTAGTCAGAAAATGAATGACATTTTTTGCTTCTCTAGTCGTCATCGTTCTTTTGTGGAAAAAAAACTGTCAAGCTTCCAGAAGTTCTGCTAAGCCTTCTGGTTTGTAGTCAAATCCAAAATTAAGGCATCATGAACACATATAACATCAAACTTACTAGTAAGTAAGTAGTATTTTCGACAGGAACTAATAGATGGGTAGTATTTTCGACAGGACGATGAATGGCTGGCAGGTGAGTATCTTGAAAAAAAAACATTGAGATAATGAGTTGGCCTGCAAACACTTGATGCTGCTATAACACTAACGAATAGCATATAACTGCCAATAAAACGCACCTGGCTCTAACTTCCTTTCAGTAGTGGTGAGCACATGTGGTGGAGATACAGTTGTTGTTCCTGTTCCCTGCATTCTTGTGACCGTATGACGTATAGACGGCATCATCGTAGGAATTGACTCAGATACTGATGTTGAAAGGTGCAGCGCAAGACAATCGACATATTCTGCAAAAGTTTCCAAATTAAGCTGCAGAAGCGCTCTTGAAAAAAAAATTGCTCACCGCCATCAACGGGATGAGGGCATTTGCATTCGTAGGAAGCATTGTACAGAGACGATGAAATCAGCGTAAAACTTGTCTCGTCTATTATGCACTTTGCTTGTGCACCAAACATGGAGCAAGCCGCATCCCTAAAAAGCTATCAGTAGCGCGAAGGCGGGATCAGTGTGATGACATGATATAAAATATGATCTAAGGAAAAGCACGATGTGGATATTCCAGGTTCAAGGAAAAGTGCCTAATTTTAAAAGAGGACTATAACTCACTCATGGCAAACATCAACGACATTACAGACAGATCCAATGAATCCTTTTCTGCACTTGCAAGCTACTTTATCGTCTTGAACAACACATTCACCATTGACACAAGGTGGCTCACAAGACGCAACAGCCTCAAATTTATTGCCTCAGCATACCAACGAAAAAAAATGTACGGAGCTCACCGATTCGCACAAAATGCCAGTGTATGGAGGTGCACAGTCACAAAAGGCTTCTCCCCCATTTGCACGACATTTCCCGCCGTTTTGGCAAGGGACGTTCGCACAAACATCATTTTCGCACTTGGCACCAGTAAATCCATTGCGACATAAGCATGCAGCCTAGAATCAGGTGAATGACAATAGTCGTTTGCTAATTGTTCTCGTACATAAAGTTCTCGACGCTGACGTCAAATCACATTCACTCAAGCAAACCACTACACATAGTCGAGTTCTCTGAGAAAGTAAACTGCTGACCGTTCCTTCTTGTGTCACAACACATGTTCCATTATTCTGACAATAGAAATCTGCACATGGACTAACGGTCCATTTCCTCGTTTCCAGGGGCTGGGGTGATACAGTACTTCCTAACTCGAACAAAGGGAAATGTGGACTATCAGAACCTGAACCAAGAGATATCATTTCAGTCAAAGCAGACACGGTAGCGATCACCTTGACTATCTTTTGCATTATCTACATCATAGGGGCATCCACATCTGAGATGATTGGATGAGAAGGAATTTTCGTAAAAGTGAGGTGGACAACCGATTGAACGTTCATTTTGTACTCTCATATCCCGCACACATGATGGACCGTGCACTGAAAATCGGATGTCACATTTTCCGATGGAAAAACAATTTTGAGCTCTTACTTGATTGTAACCGTATGGAAAACGTCCGAGGACTTGTGGATAAAGGAAAAACATTGCGTGACGCATTCGAATGAGCTATAGAACAAGATAAGCTATCGGCCGTCAGTACCCATTGAACTAGGTTCCAAGTTCCATTGGATGGAGAGACGAAATCTGCAAATGAACATCACTTTAAGCAGTAAACAATACAGCTATATGCTACATTAAATGGTTATGCAGTTGAATGATGTTGAAAGTTGAAAACAAGGGCGATTAACATCAAGTTCAAGATACTCTTTCGAGAACATAGCAAAACTACTTATTGTTAGATATTTCTTGATGTAGGTATATAAACCAACCATCTTCCGGACTATCTTGGCATTCTCCAAGTGTAACTCCGGAGGAACTGTCGACCACTGTTAAAAGCTTCGACTGATGAGTACTTCGCGATCTGTAAACATATTCTCAGTTCTTCAAGGCTCCATCAGAGTAGCTGCTGCCGCTTGGCTCATCGATGTTTACTCACAATACATACGCTGTTCTCTGATACAAAGCCACTGCAAGCAAAGTGCATGAGAAAACATTGATGCAAGCGGGCTGTTATTTTTTGAGCTGCATTTCAATGAGGACGCCCGTTGAAAACGCGCCAAGAGGAAACATGTAAACAATCAGTGATTTTTTTCAGTATGTCCGTTTATATTCGATGCTTTATTCATGTGACATCAAAGCGAGGTCTAAGTCACAGTCATGCTCATTTCTCAGATATTTCGTCTTTGTGAGACTCGATTCGTCATTGATAAAAGGCGAGAGAATGAGACCCATCAGTCAGAAGTCGAAACGGCGATTAACGCAAATAAGGAAGCAGCGTGAGCGCACAAACAGTCTGAAAATTTGACTTGTTTGAACAAAACCGTCGGAGGTGCGGCGTGGCGATCGTCCACTTGAGTACACCACTAAATGCGAATTAGAGAGGCTTCAAATGGTATGCATCTCGTATTTCTCGTCAGAAAACACGAAGAACATGATGCATGTGGGAAGCAGCTAATCAAGAAAACAAATCCTACAAATACCTAGACCTAGCGCTTTCAGATCAAGAGTGAGCAGAAGGGAAGCAATGTTATCACTGCCACACGACCGATGGGCGGAGCCATGTCGGAAGCTACGGCTGCCATTTTTGCTGAGGCATTCGCTAGTGTTTGCCATAGCGCTCGTTCAACATTCCGTTTCACTCATTGGAAAAATCTTTTGAATTTTTCATATAAGTTCATTTGCATTCTGAGAAAATTCTTATACTCATCACCCACTGCACTTTGTAAAAGTATTCTGTTTGGTAAAGCTTAAGCAAAAAGCAGCTGTACTTCCTCTATATCCTTCCACTACCATGCAAAGACAACCATTCATACAAGTCGTCCTACTACTGATTTTCATTCTGTTACTATGCATTACGACTGAGTGCAGAAGCAAGAACATTTTTCTTTTTGTCTCTCACTGGATTTTTATCTCGTTCGCATTTCGGCGCGCATGAAGGCAAGCCATCGGCTGTACATATGTCTAAACTTTATTTCATACCCGTTGATAATCTGGAGTCTCTTCACATTACGCTCAAGAAGGATAACAACAAGTCGAGAAAATGTACAGTTACTCCATACTTCCAAATTTAGCTGTTTTTGCAGAACGCGGTGCTAAAACTGGTACATGAAAGCAGGAACATGAGCAAACAAAAACCTGCGAAACTCTCAACCCAACGTCATCAGGAGTTTGAGCAAAAAACGAATTGCTGTGTTTAAGTACGCAAAGCGCACAGCTTTGTGTAGTCCTCTAACAAACTGCAAGTAAAACAAACTCTCAGCTACTTTCGATGCGCGTGGAGGCTGCGGTGATAGAAGTGAAGTAACTAGACTCTATTGTACCAATTTACACCATGTTTGTGTGTTTTTTGAGGATAGAAGGCAGCATATTGACCACGAGTATTCCATTTCACATTAACAAAATTTTGGTGAGATTTTGTTCCAACTTCAGTCAAAAATGTAGGAAATATACATGAGTATAACACTGAAGATATGACACCATCATAGATTGGTATACCACTGTCAAGTATCGCGAATATCGAAGAAACGAACAACAAACAGAAATACAAAACCATAGTTCTTAACAAAGCAAAAGTGCGTGACTCACCTCAAGTATCTGTATTCGCCGATCCAGGGTAAACTGCTACTCTCAACAATCCAGACAATACGCCCATGTGAGAGATCGGAGAAATGAAACGCGGTTTCGTCATCAAATTGGGCAAAAACCAGTGGTAATAATGCTGCAAAAATGATCTATGAACCGAGATTCAACGAAGGAAGCTGTCAAACATACCGATTAAAAATCGAAGATGCATATTCACATATGATGATTAATGAGGGATTACAGCAGTTGGTGTCATAGGTGCACAATAAGTCCCTGCAATAAGTCTTCAGAGAAGCAAAAATGAGGATAATGATGTTTTGGAGATCGGAAGGCATCAAAATAGGAGATAAAGGGGACAGTAAGTAGCATGAACTTTATGAAAACGTGTTTATAACAAGTTCACATTACTGCAACCAACCTTCTAGTGGACAAGCAATAGTTTCCGGAGGGAGCGTAGTACTGTTTCAGTTTATCAATTCATTTCGGACAAACCAAGTTATCTACTCTTACCGAGTTGTTCTTTTAGCCCTTTGTATGTCCTGAAATAGAGTATATTGTCGAAGTCTCAAACTTTATGAAACAAGGGATGCGATAAAGACTTTAGTATTTAGAGTTACACGGTAAACGAGCAAGTGATACACTCTACAGGTAGGCAGCCAATTTTGTATGAGCCAAAAGTTTCCAAAAACAACGTTGATCTCTTTTAATATATCAAAACTGTATGACGGGTGAGATTTTGCAAAATCTAAGATAGCGCGTCTTGTGCGCTTATCCGAATAGCTTTCAGCATGATTACCAGAAGATTGCCCTATTCTACCCCTGGTCGATAAGCAAATCAAGATGTAGCACATGTATTTTCGGGTTCGCCAACCTTTTTCATGAACGAGCCTAATTGTCAGATATCGTGTTAATTTGGCCTTTCGCAGTTAGCAGGCAAACTGAAAGACTTTGGTGAGCTGAACTGAGATTCACAGTTCGCTATCAATGTAGGTGTACAAGTATTTTACTGCGATTCCAGGTCTCCTGTTCTGTTTTACCACATCCATTCCACAAAAACCGTAAAAGTGCTACCTACACTCTTTATTTGAAGTGAGCGACCTTCCCTCTTTATCCTAGTTGCTTTGTGTGTAAGCGCCATCATCGCGACAGCGAGGCCTTGTATGTGCTTGATTTAGAGCGAGATTTGTTTCGTGTACAAATATGCGCGCTGCCAGAGGCTAATGCTCGTGCGCGCAAATTTCGTGCGCTTCATATCAGCTCACTTTCAAGCACTATGGTATCAACGCGCTGTTTATACAGCAAACATACCGCTATATTACGTTCGCTTCCGACGACATTACGTCCCCAATATGGTAGAGTGGAAATTGTATCAATTAGTGAAGAGTAATAGCAAGAGAAAACTTGGAATATGAACTGTTTTCTTCAGAAATGCTCAATAAACGTTATTTGATTGCACATGCGTCATTATGATGTCCACCTCCTTGATTAATCTCAAGCAAGCGCTAAAATCCTCAACTTCCATCCAATTAAACGTTCTCATGACCAGCCTTTCTATACCACATTAAATCAGCGGTTCTCGATGAGGTAGCCCAACCGAAAACAAAAAATCATGAAAAGTTCCCAACGACACTCCAACCCACAAAGACGCCAGCCGCCTGATACACGTTATGTCTCATCTCACAGATTGGAGCGCAAGCGTTTCATTCATTTATTACAAATGATGTCCTATGCATTAATCATCAACAGGCAAGTTACAAAACCTAAAACCATTTGTTGGTAGCAACAGAATACAAAGACGAAGAAGACAGACTTCCAGTGCGAAAGCAAATAGTCCTTTAAAAACATCTTAGACTGCGAGAGTTTCACAGGAAGCATTCTTCTTCTCACCAGTCTATCCAGATCATCACTAATTCCGTTCACAAAAAATCTCACATTTTTCCTTGCTCTAGATACCAATATCTATCGTTAGGCGCAAAACGTGCAAAACGCAAGCAACGTAAAGCCCGTAACTCAAAACTATGCGCCATTTTTTTTAATGGCATAGAGTAATGTATCGGCCCCGACCCCCACCGCTTGTTTTTGGCGCCGGAGACGTTTTGCACGGGGAGTTCTTAAGGGTCTAGAGAATTGGGGTTGTCGCCTAACGCCCTGCACCTCACAAATTTTTTTTTGCTCATCTTCATCTCCCACTTTCTATGGCTTTTCTGTAACAAAAGGAAAAACACTTATCTTCTGTGGTGATCACCGCTTTCAAAATACGATAGCAAATGCGATTCTGTGACAGTACCTAATTTTCTTGCAAAAGGTCTTGGCAAATGGAACCTTATTATTTTAGTTTCGAGCAATAAACGAAATCCGCTTTCTGCGTACCAAAGCTGTTGTTGTAACTCAAATCAATTCTTCAACACTTTTTCAGAGAAAAAAACTACTGGAATTATGCAAAAGTAGATGTCATGAGCACTTGCATAATTTAGGCTAGTAGTCAAAGAAAAGAGCGATGATCTGCTAAGATAGGGGAACTAGCGTAACTTGTACGCCGTTCAGGCAGCACGATAAATACTTTTTGAGCAAACACATGCTGACCGTGAACGAAACTCGAAAACTTGGCGAGACAATACATCGATATTACATGCGTTCAAAACTTTGACTAATTGAGGACGATTTCTGTTCAACGGCAAAAAGAGAGCAAGAGAATGGACAACTGACACATTGAGCTGCATACATTAACCCCGACGCGTTTGCTTTGTTTGTTTATACGCTCACGATGCAACTGCTTACAGAGGTCATCGCAATTTATGTCAGTACCACGATGATTTTACACCGTGGCACTGGTGATTTAGCGGAGTGTGCACTCAAAAAGCCCTCCTCCTTATCGTCCAAAGAATTGGGAACTTTTTTGCAAATCTCTTCGTTAAACATGGGAGTGGCTGTGCCCTGTCAACAAAGAAAAGATCGAATAGGCTTTCGCAGGTGGAACTCATATTCCAAGACGTAACCTTGAACACAACACTTGTGACAAACACCACCGCTGATTTTTTTGGCGCTTAGTTGTTAGCAAGATGTGCGTAGTGTTTGTGCATGTAAAAAAAAAATTCACGAGCACTTCATCTCTGCGAAATTTTAGTTGGTATAGATGTTACTGAAGATGATGGGAAAGGAAATGTTCAGGGTTAAGAACAGTGTGTTAGTAGTCTTATTTCGAAGAGAGCATTTCTGTGATGTGAGAGGACTGCACTCAAGGGAACAGGCCAAAAACGTCTCGAAGTGCAAATCAATGGATCACTAATGATGTGATATCGCGGCTCTAGACAACATCAAGGAAGAACTGATTGAAGACGTGATTGCGGACTGAGGGATTGAGGAAAGCGCTCTCGGCGGAGAATAGCGCCGTTATCAAGAGAGAAACGTGGAGAGTGCGTGACGACCAAACAGACGATGAGGTGACAGGGTCAAATCACGTCGCGCAGTGAAACGTATTATGTACAGAGGAGTGGTAAGAGGAAGTACGCGCGCGAAGCGAAGAGCGGTGGCGACGAGGCGTGCGCAGTTCGTGCGAGTTGCGGCTGTGCCGGTGCTGGCGGTGTACAGGTTGCGGACGCGCAGCTGGATTCCGAACCTATACTTGGCAACATTAACGCTCGAAAACGAAAACTCGCTGCTAGACAGTAACCACACACATGCAGATGCATGTCCATCACATTCGTTGAAGGACGTAGAGACAGAACATGTACGTATATGCGTGAGTGTCTGGCAAGTCTGACTTGCTGTGACCTCTAATACGAATCACATCTAATGATCACATCTATCACAGCGCAGCCAGTGGTCCACTCTGCTCACGACGACGTTCAATTCCCCTGCAGTTCTTTTTCTTCAAAGACGAAAGACCTGTTCTTAAGCAGCGCTCTGCGTTTGCCACTACACTAAAGCCCTATTCTCATTCAATATTGATGCTTTGATGTTGTTTCGGACAAAGCAAAATAAGCAAAAACTAAGACGTGAGAGGAAGCAACGTATCCCAGTTCTGGGGCACTTTTTTGGAAAAAAGGCCGTCGTAAATTACAGTTGTGGAAGTAGTCGATGTTTAAGGAAGTTGACATAGAAAAAAATGTTGGTAAATGTAACAATGGACTCAGCCTTTTTTGGGAAGTGTGTATGTTTATAAAGGCTTTAGCGCCTCTGTAGCGCCTTTTCTCAGTCAAAAAAGACAAGTCGCAATTTCTTTTCGAGTTCTTCCTGCGCCAAAATTCTTCACAGGATGTATCCAAAGAGACCTGCTTTTTTCCACAAACTGCTATAGATTCTCAGGTCTTCTTCAACTGTCTAGATTCTAATTCGAAGTGGCATGTTGTCAGCGCAAACTCGAGTCTTGTTCAAGTGATACATTAACCTTTTGTGAAAAGTGCATCAAAACCCATTTTATTGCTATTATTTCTATCAATCAGATGATGCAGATTTTTTAAACATCCGGAGCTTTTTATGATAGCAAGAGATGATTTTTACTGCACCAATCAAGATAGGTCCCTTTTGATTTAGCTGACAAATCGAAATTTGGAACTATAATTTGATTTCTCTAAATATAACTTTGTGAAAAAATATTCTAGTATTGTTTAAACGTGCTTAAGCTTTTTTGCAGCAAATTCTGGAAAATGAAGGACAGATCCAAAATAGGCACTTAAGTTGCAACTTAGCCCTTTTTAGAATTACGAGGTAGCATTGCCATTTTTCTTCCTCCATCATCCTCGCGGACTAGGTTTTTTACATCCTTGGCTCACTTAAGTGTTGTCCGTGAGTTGTCAATGGCGACATTGCGTCCCCGTACGAAGGCAGAATGAAACTTTTGAAGCGTGAAGATAAATCAAAGATCAATAAGCTACGATGAGCACAACACATAAGAGTTAGATTTATCTCATAGCAAAGAGGAATTGTCGCGGACATCGTCCTCCTACGAACGCTAAGAAATACCTGGTTACCAAGGTCATTCTACCATTTTCAAACGCTTTCCGCAACGCTTGAACATAACGGTGACAGTTCAAAACATTCGCATATTGAGCTGATTAACAAATGAAATTAAAAATTGATCTCGTTCTCCACAAGTGCTTCGAGTATTAGCATTACTCATGGATAAATAAAGTTGTGATTAAGTCAGCAAGAATATACTTGATTCGGTATGTGTACACACCCTATAGCGGAAAAAATCCAATTGTTCCGCCTTTTATTTTCTTGAACCTCAAAAATCAACAGCGATATCGATTGGCTAAAAAATAATTCCAGTCATTTTTTAGACATGCTACAGATAAATTTCTATATGAATGTTTGGTATCAATGAACTATCCAAGGGGAATCAAAGCATCATCACAGTTTGAGCACAAATTTTCAAAGAAAGTGCTGCAAGCAGGGCTCGGCACGAGCTGGCACCAGGGAATTTTGAAAACGAAGTCCCCTTTGAAATTTGCCAATTTTTACGAAGTCCCCCTTGACTTTTGGGAAATTTTACGAAGTCCCCTTTGATCCTCAACGATATCCCCCCTAAAATCCTAAAAAAATCCCCAAAATCCCCCAAAAAACGAAACGTCGACTAAAAAAAAAAAAAAAAAAAAAGGTCGCCGCCGCCAATTTTCCGTATGTCTTCGCCCACAAAAACGAAACCCCCTTTGCTTTTTGCCCCAAAAACGATATCCAGCTTGCCCCGTTCCAGCTGGTGCCAGGCCCTGGCTGCAAGTAATTTTAGATCCTAATAAATTCTTGGAAAGACGTCCGTTACTAAAAATCCGGCTTGGAACTAATATCATTTGAGTAGTTGCTCTGTTAAACAAATACCTCGAAAAATCTTGCGGGGAGATTAGAAGTAAGGTTGAAGTCGCAACTAGTTTATGAAGCTTGACAAGGTTTTCGAATTGTTGGAATTCAGCTTATGTTCTTTTGTTTACCTTTCTTTAAAAAAACCGAAATGTTCTGCATTCACATCAGTGTTATTCTTCTGGTCAAAATGTTTTAGTTTGTTTTATGACTGTTTATGAATAGAGCAGCTGCTGCAGATGTGTTTACATGGGATAAAGACTATTCATCTCGTTTCTAAACCCGTGCCACTTTTTGCGGGAATGAGATTTGAAGGGTTTTTTCATATGTCTGGCTATGAGACAGCCATTGGATGTACATGCCCTACAATGTTAATGAAAAGAATAAATGATAATCTACCTGGAAAAGTGAAGATAGCCTTGCTATACTAAAAAGACCTTTCATAGAGATAAATTCTATAAAGAGATATTAGGTCTGGTGAGGTTTTAATTCGCCGAACTATAATTTTCGATGCACTCCTTTTTCCAGTTTTCATTACACTTACTATTAATGAGGCTTACTCACTTCCTGAGATTGCAAATGCACAGCTTTTCTACGAATAGAACACACATAATGAATTTTCTAATGAGGTTCGCCAAATAAGCTAGAATTTGACGAAGAAGACCACAAATGAACAATACCGTACAGAGAATAGGGACTGCCAATAAATTGTAGGGATACGTGCACAGACAGTGATAATGTACGGAAATTTCTGGTTTCTCTGGATATGAAAAATGTGAACAAGCCATGAATTATTATAGTCACGATCACGAATCCTATATTTTGGTGTGGATACTACCATAACCTGCTTCAAAATATACAATATTTATGTGCAGAAAGAACATCTCCGTAACTTGTTATTAAAAAGCACATTTTAGGCTAGCTGAGTGGTTTGCTGAATAAGTAAACATGCTCAACCCAGATAAATCTCTCTCTCCTCCTCCTCTCCCCCCCCCCCTATTTACTGAAGCCTATCCTTTGTGTACGGAATAAATTCAATAGTCGACCGAAACGGCTTTGATACTCTATCAGAAATGTGAAAGACTTTCGGTGCTTTTTTGGAGATCTACTGCAAATTTTTGCTTGATAGTTTCACATAATAGATCTCGCACATAGGTCCTTAGCAAAAAAGTCAAAAAACCATTGCTCAACCATAAATCCGGTTAAGGCACTAAGTCGAATTTATCGTCATCTTAAGATGCATATAAAAAGCTAAAAGCCAATAAATTCCAATCAAGAATGCGTTACATGGCGAATCTCTTCAATTCTTTATAATCTAACTTTTAATCGATAAATCAAATCTCGATCCCACTTATGTTATGGATTTTAAACAGATGTGTCAGCAGTGCTCTACGAATATGAACAGAGATATAAGTGTTGGTGTCCGAGCAATTACATACCAGTCCTGGTTATTCAGCGAAAAACTGGTATTTGGGGGCTTGGAAGTGCGAAAAAAAAACGGAACCGCTTTGTAAACTTAGCAGTCGGATAAAATAGAAAACATGAAAAGTTGATGTAACTAGTCATTGTTGATGCATACATAAGTATTTTCATACGAAACATGTATAAAAGGAGTTAACAAATTATTAGGTTGCCAAGAAAATAATGTCGTTTTTTATTTGCTTGCTTTAACAAAGCAACCAGACTCAACCCAATAAAGGATAATGGGTATTGTTCGATAGAGCAAAGCAAGCTCTACAAGATGGCATTCATAATATTGCGCTATGTTCGATCCACGCAAAGTTTGAACTCAAAATCTGAAGATTTCCAAATGCCCAAAAAATTGAAAAAAAAATCAGATCTTCGTCCAAATAATTTCTACGGACCTCCCACTCGCACACGTCAATACTTTCGATATCTAATATCCGTATGTGCAGCTGCTGTACTTTTTCCTTGACTGGAAACTGAGAAAACGAAAATTTTCGTGTTTTTCTAAAAGCAATGCAGAGCCGTTCTTGCATATGTGATTCTATACTACAAGCTTAGGTAAGTATAAGTATAGATTTTCAGCCCATTCCGAGCAGTAGTTTTCGAGAAATATCGAAAGCTTTCTTCTTTTCAGTTTCAGTGCTAAAAGCGACATTTCTCGAAAACTACCGCTCGGAATAGGCTGAAAATCTATACTTATACTTACCTAAGCTTGTAGTATAGAATACATCATTGCTTTTAGAAAAACACGAAAATTTTTCTTTTTTTCAGTTTCCAGTTAAGGAAAAAGTACAGCAGCTGCACATACGGATATTGGAAATCGAAAGTATTGACGTGTGCGAGTGGGAGGTCCGTAGAAATTATTTGGACGAAGATCTGATTTTTTTCAATTTTTTGGGCATTTGGAAATCTTCAGATTTTGAATTCAAACTTTCCGTGGATCGACCTTGGCGCAATATTATGAACGCCGTCTTGTAAAGCTTGCTTTGCTCTATCGAACAATACCCATTACCCTTTATTGGGTTGAGTCTGGTTGCTTTGTTAAAGCAAGCAAATAAAAAACGACATTATTTTCTTGACAACCTAATATTTTCAATACAGGGTGTCCCAAGAAAATATGAACCCTGTTTGATTGTTGATAATTCTCTTTCTTTCACGTCTTTCGCCGAGCTTGAGGTATCATCCTATAAAGCGACAACTTAGATTTACAGTATGAACCGAATCGTCAGCCGCTCTTTCTTACGGTAGGATTACGCTATGAACTTTCAGCATAAAGCGCTACTATGGAATATGTTTATGGAGGAAATACCAAAAAAAAACTGGAATTTTGAGTATAAGGTTTTCAAACATGCTGATTCCAGTGCACAACTTTTCGCCAGTTTTTTGAGCTCTGAATGGTGAATCACACTTTTGACGAACATTTGAAGAACAGATTTTACCCTAAATCTAAGATAACTCATGAAAGAAGCATTACAGTAGAGTGCGAATTTCATAATTAGAATCAGCGACTTTGACTAGCCCAGTACAAGAGTTTCTGACATGTTTGGTTTTCTCTGAGGCAAAAATCGCTTTCGCTTTTCTAAAAATCTTTTTTAAGTACATACCGTAACCCTACAGTAGTAAAGAGTGATTGATGATTTGGTTCATACTATTAATCTAACTTGAACCTCGCTCTACAGAATGATGCCTCAAGCTCGGGGAAAGCCTTGAAAGCAAGAGAGCTATTAACGACCCAACAATGCAAAAAACGAAGTCCCTCTTGAATTCTGCGAATTTTTACGAAGTCCCCTTTGACCCTAGACCATAATCCCTAAAAAAAATCTCCAAAAAACGAAAAGTCGACCCAAAAAAACGTCGCAAATTTCGTGTCTTTTCGGCCACAAAAACGAAGCCCCCTTTGCTTTTTGTCCCAAAAACGATATCTAGCTTGCTTATAAACCACCTGTGCCGAGCCCTGTGTATCATCCAAGTTACTTGTGAGGACGTAAAGAACCAATGAAGGTATTTTCCTAGCTGATCAAGGACTTTAGGCTTGAGACAGGACGTTAATTAGAAAGGTGTCCTCAGCCATACACAAGAAATTACGCATTTTTGGCTATGATGGGAAAACTTCAATTCAACAAATGTGACGAGACCTAGAAAATTTCACAAAAGCAAATCCAGCGATCAGATAGTGTATGTTAAATCAAGCGTATGATCATACAAAGAGCGAAGTACATGGTCACGCAAGGTTTGTTTGAGACTTTGAAGCGAAGAATGTGATCGATTGCCTGCAGCTAGGTTATAGATCAATTAAGTAAAAGTTTACATTCGACAGATATAGTGATTTTTGTAAGTGGTTTTTCGAAGTGTGAATATGTCCAGAAGATCTAATGGATAAATTTTGTAAAGACGACTGCGCAAGAACATAACAAAAATCAAACTGCATCGTAGGACAAGATTTACTTATGTAGGTCTCCGAAGTTGTTTTCGTTTATCTCAACAATTTGCTTCCATTTTCTCCCGATGTCAACGACATTTTTTGCGAGGCTGTCAAACCGGTCTTTCTTTCTTTTTTTATCCACCATGTTAACCAAACGCGACCTTAAGTTCGTTCATCGTTTCATTCTTGCGAATGTGCAAGAATTGAATGAAGCAATTTTCAACCCTTTTTACTCAAATTATTGGGCGGTTGTTTCAATTTCTAAGATCGATCGCAGTTCCAAAAGGGGTGTAAAGCAATCTATTGAAAGGTGTCAGTTTACACATATGTTGGAAATGATTCTCAATTTATCTTCCGTTGTGTAATTTGCTGTTGCTCACGTTTTAGCGACAGTAAAATGATATGGTCGTGTTTATGCGCCAAGGAAGTCAGGGGGCACTGACACGAAAGAAAAAATACATCGAAAGTAAAATTTATTTTAATGGTATTTCATACCAAGGCACAGACAAAGAAATCTTCCAAATAAACGTTAACAAACAACTTGACTACACGCTCGAGTCTCTCGTCTATCTACATGAAAGGCGTTTGCAGTGTTCGGAACTGATCCGGTGTTAGCGACTTCTTGCGTAGATATGCTACTGCTTCAACGAAGTCTTCGTGTTGACTAGCTGCTTGTTTCTCTTCATGCGAAGTTCTAAAAGCTAGATTATCACTTATAGCGCACACAGCCCAGTTAACTTGACGACTAATAAAGTGTAATTGCGCTGATGACAACATTTGCGTGCAAACAGTTTTTACGCGCAAGTCGCAAGCAAGTGGTAGGCATTCAGAAACATGCCCTATGTTTTCGCCCAAATGTTGTCGTCACCGCAAGGACACTGCATCAAGTGTCGGATCTACTAAAGTATAGCGGCCGTACCCTAGTCTCGGTAATTCGCTCCTTGCCGATCTCGTGGATCTCTCTGTTAGGACCCTTTCGACGATATGGGATGATCTGCGCCGAGATAGGTGCGGTGGCAATTGTGGCGTCGTCGGATCTGATCTGACTGAGTCATCATCGGATGATTGGTCGAAGGCATTCCAATTCACAACCTGTCAGTAGGAATTTGAAAAAAAAAACCCTCTTTCTTGATCAAATTCCTACCTCCGGCATGGGTGTCAAAATATCGACAACAGTGGTGGACCTCTGAAGTAGAGGTGCTGTTCTAGCTGCATGTGCAGCCATACCCTGCCGTACAATGCTTTCTGTCGTTGCTGGTTTTTCCTTGCCTGAGTGTCGTTCCAATTCTTCTCTCAACTGCAAATTGGACAAATTGTCGAGGACATCAAGTTAAGTTACCTTGCGGAAGTGTGGTACAAGGCCGTATATTTAAAATTTATGTCTAAAATACGCTCTCCTCCAACATTCTCAGCAGCATTTACTGGGGGTGGAGGGTTACGGTGTAGGTAAGCTCCGCGATGTGATAAAGTGGCGAAGAATGGGTGTGGTGGCCGTTTTTTTTTTCGCGTTTCACCTCAATTCTGTTTATCTCCCTTTCAACTGTTCTACAAGCTGAAGCAAGCGTAAATTTCCGCAATTTTGCAAAAAGCCTTTCACACGTCTGTAAAATGTCTTAACTTGAAGAAGATGTCACAATTCCTGTAAAAAACTTGTTTGTAAAATGTTTGAACGACGTCTCAAAAACTCACACTTTAGAATTGAAAAAAAAGCCTTTTGATTACTGTGGCAGGGAATTCTTTTAACACCTGAAGCTTGGATATATGCTTGAATTCCAAAGGCATGCAAGGCCGTTCAAAAATTTGTTCATTGTTCACTCTTTGATCTCGCTCGCAAATGCTTTTTTCAAAGAAAGTGATTAGATCGACTTTCTCAGCAATTACAGAAACTACCCTATCACTTACCAATCAAACCTTCTCTGAATTGGAGTTTAAAACTTCTAATCAATTCTTTTAAGCTGTTATTTTCTTAAGGTTTTTACGAATGTGTTATAACTGCGACTATGAGATCCTTTTCTGGATTCCTAAGATAGTGGCAGACTTCAGTCTAATTGAACAGACTAAACTTGAACTTACATCGCTAAGTGAAATAACACCGATCAGTCGTCCCCTCTCTGTGACATACACTCGGCTGAGCTGCAGCATTGAAAATATGGAGTGGATCTGAAAGGATTTTTGGGCACATTGGGATCGATTGGTAAGAGATAATTCTCACGTTGAACAGAGATGTCTTCTTCACAATCTGGAAGGGTGCTGGATCAACGTCTTCCGTCAAGTCGACTTCTTCAGCAAGCCGAGCCGCTTCCCAGTGTCTTTGCTGGAAAAAAAATAGGAGTGAGGACTGCGTAATGAGATACTGTCTCCTTCGCAAAATATATAAATGCGAAGTACAGGGTGTCCCAAAGCCTCCTGTATTGTCAACTCTCTTTAACATGAAGTCTTTCGAGAAGCTTGAGGTAATATTTTGTGGGTACATGTCAAGAGCGCGATTTTTATCGCCAGATGGACATCACACATATTAACAAGTGTTTTATGACTTTCTAAAAGTAGTCAAATTTCAAAAGGAGATGTATTAGATAGTTGCATGGGTTGTTCAATCTTAATATCTTGAAATCGGCTCCGAAGAGCAATTTTTAAAGGCAGTATCCGGGCAAAAACTCGATTTTGAGATTTTGTGCTTACTCGGGCTTATTCGCTACGCTGAATCCGAAAATACACATTGGAGAGCGCGAAAATGGCGAAAAACGCTCTAACACAGGAGGGAAATCAGCTGGTGGGCGGGGTCCTCCCCGCTGTGAATTCACGCTCCCAGCTTAGCGATTTTCTCGCTTCCGGTTTCAAGCCAATCTTCGCATTTGGCCGATAGCGATGCTAGGACTACTAGCGGAATCGAAAAGACCGCTCCGGAAGCTGGGAGTGTGTTCACGTTGGGGAGGACTCCGCCCACCTCTGATTTCCCTCCTGTGTTAAGCCCTTTTTCGCCGTTTTCTCTCCAATGTGCTTCGGATTCAACGTAGCGAATGGGCCCCTGGTAAGCACAAAATCTCAAAATCGAGTTTTTGCCTGGACACTGCCTTTAAGGTCAAAAACCCATGAGAATGAGTAAGAACAAATTTGCAAATACTTTGGTCCGTTTTCCAGCAAGCCACCAAACTCAGCAAGTGGTAACCTCAGACAGACAGTAAGCTTGTGTACTTTTTCTGGTACATACTGAAGATTCGCATAGCACTAAACTGGACTTTTAAGGTAGTGACAGCCAGAAAAAACGCGCCTCCTGAACCCCCCCCCCCCCCCGAATTTTGTAAAGCTGGCTCTAACTTAGATTCATAAATGGAGCAAATTACCTCTTTCTTCATTATAGGGTTATGGTAAAAAGTTTGAGAAGCGTTTTGCGTCATTTAGGGTGGTTTTACCCCAACAAAGGACTAAAGAAGCTGAAGACTCCTACACTAATTTTATCGGACACGCTAATTTCAAATATGAAGCGCGCACTTCACTGTAACGCTTTCCTCAAAGCTATGCCAAATATACCTGATATTCGATTTCCCAAATCGTCAAAAATTCGATAAAGCAATTTAGAAAGCTCTGCAAACGCATAAAATTCAAGTAGCGATATCAGCATGCAGCAGAAACTTGTTGCAGAATTTTTCGAAATTTCTAAAAAAAAATTTTGAGCGGTGCGAGTTCCTACCGTAATTTTACAGTAATGATGAAAGACTGACAGCTCGCTTCATAATGTAAAGCCAAGTTGAAGCCAACTTTACAAAGCAGTATATAAGCTCCTCGAAGGATTCCATGAGAAGAGAGTTATTTACAATCAAAAAGTAGGCACATTTTTTGGGACAACCTGTAGTTATTCCTTACTCAAAGACGAGAACAACTACTCTCTGGTTGGATCATTCTGCTTATTTTTTAATCAAGACTTGTCGAAGTAGTAGCTTATGTGCCCTCAAAAGAAATTTTCATCATCATAATGATCCAATTTTTTCGGACACTAATGATGAGAACACAAAATCTCTGCAGTCTACAAACAGAAAATCTCTGCAGTCTCCAAATTGTATTAGTCTTTGTTTAACCATTTCACATGAGTAACAAGCTCCTTTCTGCAAAGATCTGATTTGTAGCCCTCAAAATACCAAAGAGAGAAAACCCTGCTAGATTTTTTGAATGGATTCAATGCTAGAAGAACACAAACTACGATAAAATTGAAAATCAAAGACACTACAGAATATTGTGGTGATTTAATTGTTGAGCCATTCCGAGATTGGTATATATATTTATTAGGCTGACGTTTCGGCTGCTACCTTCTTCAGAGCCTGAAATAAGCCTAATATATATATTTACCAATCTAGGAGTGGCTCAACAATTAAATCAGCACAACATTCATCATACCGAGATTTAAAAACAACCGCACTTTTCGATTACACTACAGAATGTTTACACTTGTCTCCTCGTGAATAAAATGTAAGTACTTGCCTCTTCATCTGACAGGTCATACATGTACAATGGTTTTCGCTCGGGTTTCGAGTGGCCGAATTGCATGTGGTGCAGATATTTCTTTGCTTGTCGCATGTAGCCTGTGCAAGACCGCTTTTCTGTGCATTTACTGAGATTAACCATTTCAGAAATACTTTTGACAACTGTATGGTAGTCGATGCCATGCAAAGTCAAATGTTGTTTTAGCTGGATTCGGTCGGATCCACACGACTTCTCATCCTCTTCTGCTTCTTCTGCAGACAAATCTATGAAATAGAGAGCGTAATTTTCAATTTGTTATGAACAACCTTTTGTTTTGTCTCCTGTCTCAAGACTGCAAAACGCATTTCTCCTCGTAGGAGAACTTTTACGGTTTGCCGGTTCGATGTGTCCAGGGGAGACAGTAAATCTGGAATAGTGATAAACTGGTTAAGAGTTGGACAGCCTGTTTCATCACAATATCCCTTTGCACACGCGAACGCATCCACACTGCTATAGCCTCGCTGACCTCTCGTCGATGAGTCTGACCTGACTGCTCAAACCTAATGCCCAACGCCGCGCGAGGCATTTGCGGTGCGGATGTGCTGGTTGAACGAGGACACTACGATTGAAATGGACTGTATATTCAAAAGTAGGATGCCCTTACCTGTTCTTGTTTTTATGCGACTTCTTTTCGTCTTCATGTGCTAACGTGCTCGGCGGAGTTGGCATGAATTTAGGCAAACTTGATTCAGACTTTGTTCTGGTATTAGTAGGACTAGGAGACTTGCTTGATTGTTCAAATATCTGCAAAAAGCCAAAACAGGCACTTTTCAGGGAAGAAAATCTGAGGGAAGCCTAGTGTCTTCTCTAGTTTCTCCATAAGATTCTTTTCAGCTGCAAAAAAATAGTCGAATTACTTCTCAGACAGTTGGAGCGTGCAGCGCGCGCGCAGTCACACGGTGGCGCAACACCCAGTGCGCGGATGGCGGGACATTGGATGCCGCGCAGCTGGTGCTGACCCGAGGATGGCTGCATTTTTTTAGTTTTTCGTTGCGCGTATACGCAGGTCTTGATAATGAACTCCACACTTCATACGCCAAAAAATATGAATTCGTATTTGAATCCAAGAATTCAGATCCAGCATCCATTCGCAATGCTACCGAAGGCTACTTGGAAGCAAAAAACAAATTCTATTTCCGCGACTACTCATACACTAAGATGCGACATCCAACCTTTTGAATGATGGGGCAGCCTAACCACTGCGTCGTATACTACGCGGGCATCCCTTGTGCTTACAACATGTGATAATTGCAGGTGCGCGGTCCGCACGGGTAGAGTATGAAGGCACACGCGCGGCGTGCTACAAAATTGCGCGCGGCCTGCGAGACCGAGCATAAACCTAGCGCGCGGCCCGCGAGATCGAGCATAAACCTAGCGCGCGGGTCGCGGCTTGGCCATTAATAGCGCGCCGCACGCACCGAATATCTAGGATGGCACGCGTTCGGCGTACTGCCGCCCACAAATAAGGCACGCGCTTTGCCGCATTGACCATAAACGCGCGTGCGCCGCACACTCCAATTGTCTGAGTTTGTTACTTCGACAAAATTCACAGGTTACAAATGTGTATACTTTGGTAGTCAGATGCATATTCTAGTTACACCATAAAATCGAATAAGGACGCTGCGGACCATGCACGGCGCGGTTGAAATGGTGAGGGAGCACGACTTGTACAATGACAAATTTGTACTGGGGCAAGCGTTATACCTCGCATCGCGTGCTCCGCAGTGATGAGCAGTCCGTGCGGTCAACGAATGAACTATACACGAAAATTCATACGAACCTCTTTGAACGATGTTCTGAAATGCATGTCAATAGTTTCGATAGCCTTCCTCACGCGACGACCTGCTTCTTCTTTTCTGGCCTCCTCTCCGACCTTAAAGCATAGAACTATACTAAAAAGGGTAGAGGACATTATGATGGGCTCCTCCCGTGCGCAACGCACGGGAGTGTCAGCATGATTTGTGACAGATGTCGGCAGGACCATCCTATCGACGACATAACGTCCTTTACCCCACTGAGGATGTTTTACAACTTTACTACTTTCACCAACCTGTGCTTCCAAAAGCTCTGTCAGACAGCTTCGAGAAATCGTACCGATAAGCATTTGCGATTCTGTATCGTACTGAACATTACCGTAAAAGTATTATGAATTCCTCTAACTCGCCTGCTGAATCGACCACTGGAAATACTCTGAAGTCACCATCCATAAGCGTTTGTTGGATGTCCGCATAGCTTATGATTTTTGTAACAAATTGCACTGGAGAAACCATAATGTTCTCTGCTTGAACTATGTGAACTCTGAACTTATCGTGTTTATATAAATTGTTGCTTGAATCTTGCATAAGTACTCGTTCTTGAGACTCTACTTTGCTAGAAAAGGATACTCACACATTGCTTGAAGGTGGTATATCAGGAAGAAAAGGCAAATGCTTGATCTTGATTATGGTGTCGAAGAATGAGGGCGTCAAATATGCACAGACAGCGTTAGATATCAAAACGGACATCTGCAAGGCTAGTTTTGACTTTTGTGGTCCAATAAGGACCGACTCTTTTTGTGTAGACCATGCAAAGCTCCAATTACGGAAATTCCAAAACTTTCAAAAGAAGGAGGTGGAGAGCGCTTGCCAAAGGCATTTGAAATATTATCATTCTAAGACTGCTTTTAGAGTTGCCCGTGCCAGCGGCGTTCTAGCGTCGTGGCGGAACTGTTACCGGGGAAATCCATCGACTACTAAGCAGTGGGGTCGGCGCTGGCACATGATCAACTCTGGACACGGTCTTAGCTGACGATCCAAAATGTTGGACAAAGGTGGCCCCAAAAAGCTAGTAATCCATGATATAAACCTACAATGACTGGCAGGATACAGTGCAGTTGTCCTGTTATCTCGAACATCATTACCGATACGGATACGGTATGCGTCACAGAAGCAGAAAAGCTGGCTGCCCCTAAAAACCAACTTCAAATTTATAGAGAACCAGATGTTGATGGTAAATCTACCAACGACAGCGTAGACGCCAGGATAAATATTCATTGTTCCCACTAAAGGAGGTATAGTAACAGCGACCATCTAAATTAAGAACCATTGGTCTCTTCCTTCAGAAATTTATAACCTAGTTAATGACGATAAAACCACGTATTTGCTATAATACAAGGGCAGTCCTGAACGAAGGCGGATGCATGGGATTTACACTCTGTGCCGCCCACGTACTTCTCGTGGAACTGCGCGTCCGCAGCGTGAAGGTCTAACGTGCGGACCTCAGTCGAGGTAGCCAAATTGAGTGCCTGCTTCGGCGTGGCATTTGCGCTTACGGGAAAGGGAGCATGTGATTGACATAGATTATACATAGCAGAAACAAAGAAGCTCGCAAGCCGCTAGCAGCGTCCACGCAAGTGGACAGCTGGGAAACGTAAGTGGAAAGTAATTTTGGGCTCTTTACTGAAGGACTGCCCACGCGGCAGCGGAGACGGTGCACTCGCGGCTGATATGATTCCCCAAACCAGAACCCGCTATCGTATATAGGGACGACTTTTAAGCACCATGCTGCATGCTATTGCAACGGATCCACCGCTCTTATGATGGGTCTTCGCCCAAAACCCTGCAACCCGGTGCAAATCGTCCAACAAGTACGGTAGCGGAGTCTGGTTCGGAGACGATATCCTCACCCGCTAGTGTACACCTGCGCTATATAGTATATCATCAAGTCATTGACCGCACGGACTGGCCGTAGACTGCGGATCAGGCGCCGCGGGCAAATGCTTGTATTGGTAAAACATAGCTATTGTACAAGTCGAGCTCTCGTGACATTTGCCGCGCCCAGCGAGCAGCTCAATCTTCAGCAATCAGTATGGTCGACAACTCGACCATATGTATGATTACATATGTTCATGTATAATATGATCATATTCAATTAAATCAACTAACTTACCTCACCAAAAAGTCGACCAATAGACGCACCGATGACAAAAATAGGCATGAAAACGCCGGATGGAATAGGTAAACTCATGCAGACTGAGGAAAAAACTAGCTGTAATTTAAGATTGAGCAATTTATACACATAAGGACTACTGCCAGACGAGGGCGCAAATCTAGGAGCGCTAATGCGGTTCTATTAAGGGCACACGCATAACGCGCAGGGCTCACAACAGTATAGCTACGCGCGCGCCGCGTTCGTCCCACTCAGCTAATCTCGCTTTTGCGCCTTCGTCCGGCAGTAGACTTTGAGTAAAATTTTCTACTCAGAACTCACATGTGTAAGTACAAATAACGCAAGAAATCCGAGCACGTCTTCCTCATGATGTAACCAGTGAATGTAGACATCACCTGTTCTGCAGGCAAGGAATGATTCAGCAGGTTCAGAGAAGGTGCAATTACTGAAGAAGTCCTTGAGGTTCATTCCAAATTTGAGCTGGAAGTTGTTTCATTGATCAGCTCTGCCTAAAGCAACTGGATGGAAGCACAGTGATCATATACGTACCCTGCCCGTGGCGAACATTCCTAAACCGTGCGGGAAAGACACAATACTGTACAGAAATGAAATGAAGGCCGGATAGACGATCCAACTGAAAGCATTTATGTCAAACACAATTTCGCAAAACAAAAAGAAACCTACTGTTGTTGGAAAATCCGCTTGGCATACTTATTGTTTCGCAGAAACAGTACAGCATTTCGATAGATTGTTATAAATACCGCACCTAATACACCGCATACTATTCCGAGTACAGCAAATAATGGAAGTTCGTCGACGACAAAAGCATCTGGTGTGAAACTCGTTTGGAAGAACGCGTTCACCGTAACTGCAAAGATTCGTAAAACTCAAGAAAATAGGGGAGGGATGGGGGCAAAAAAGTACAACCTTCTGTTTGTGCTACAAACCCTCTAAGCAAACGTATCGTGATTGCTCCACAACATGCTGCAAAAAATCCACGCCAATAGCTACGTACTGAGAAATACATTGTTGTGACTTCGATTGAGAACAGTACTCCTGAAAAAAAAGTTCATAATTTCTACAGCACGATTTTGAAGATGTTTAGTCAAATCTCAAATTCTTGGACCAACAGCATAAAAACGCAGAATCGTAGACGAAGGGAAAAAATAGTTCTGTGAAGGGTGAAATTGCAGTTCTGTCTTATAATGACAATGGAAGTTTGCTGCACGCATAAAGAAAATAATTTCAGATCGAAGCGTACCTTATAATGTACTGACAGCGACCGTCGGGATACTGTAAGTGTACTGTATCATCCCGATGTCCTAGGCAGACTTTCGATCGCGTCGGTACCCGCCCGAGCCCGCCGCGACCCAAAGCAAAGGGTAGCAGCGCCTGTGGAAATGACGACTGTTGAGTTGCTTGTGACTCGATATGTACATCCCACAACGCGGGCCGTATTTCACATGTGCTCCCATGTCTATTTCCAAACATATCCGCTTCGCTTCTATCATTTGCCAGGTTCCTTGTTTTTCCCGGCGAGTTCAGACGAGTAACGGCAGCTCCAGAGGGTATCGGCGGGTCCGGACGGGTAACGGCGCGTACTGGCACGGTCTGAAGCCTGCCTCACCACAAAATGTAAAGATTACTCCTGGTTGAAGGGGTAGGCGCCACTTATCCGGTTCAATCGGTTCATGTTGTTCACTCCTTCGTTATTGGTCAAACACTGAACTGACGACCAACAGCGAACGTGAGTAGGACGATGCGGTTGAACAGGATAGAAGTCTGGCGCTGGCCAGGCGCTCTGCCACGTGAAAGGCACGCGCCATACTTGATCCGCTTGATCCGCTTCATCCACTTCGCCATTGGTCAGTTGGCTGATTTGACCAATAGCGAAGTGGATGAAGCGGATGAAGCGGATGAGGCGGATCAAGTTTGGCGCGTGCTAAACGGGGGTGAACGTGGCAGTCGAGCACCTACCATCGCTGGAGCGCATGGGATGCACATTGTAGAAACCGTTAATTGCTTTACGCTTCCTCAAATGGACACTCCCTTCATCTGGACTAACTTATGTTCTTTTATAGCTGCCGTGCTGCTGTAGATTACCACTGCTAGCGAAATAGCGCGAAAATCAACATACGTCTTATTGGAATTTGGTAAATATTAGGTTGAACACTAAGTTTTGCAACTGGTCTCATAACTTCCCTCTCACTCAACATGGTGCACTCAAATTTTCACTGTGTTGGTTATTACGTGAGCTACAAGCGCAGCTGCTGTCCTACCAAATTTTGACGTCGCAGTCAGGGTTACGGTAGGTGTATGGTATGAAGGGGAAAAATTCAAAGTTTGACGGATTTGGCTGAAACTTGGCATAGGGGTTTGTCCGACATGCTGATCATGAAAACGATAGTGAAATTCCGTGATAAGGGCTTTTTTATAAGATTGCTGTAGGTGTACGATATGAGGTCTCACCCTAAACAAGGAAAAAGGCGTTGATTCAACAAATGAGTGAGATATTCGCGTTCGGCAGGTCAAATAACTTTATTATGTGAAGTCTCGGCGGAATTTGAGCTCCGGATTCTTTAGTCATTGACGGTCGTCCCCAGCAGCTCTTGCGTACATCGACTCGTTCGACTTTGTGAGGACGCCAAATCTCGACATGCCCCTGAATTTTGTTTCTTTCTTACTGGGCCAAAGGAGTCAACCTCCAGCAATAGTTTGTAGACGAATCCGGATTACTGCGCATGGTCTAGGCTGCTAAAGGCTTCATTTTAGCTTGAAACCCCAAACATTCCTAAATTTCACTAGTTTTCGAAAAATGCCTGAAACTTTTCTATTTCGTGTTCAATATTTAGACAATTTGTGCTCCCTTGTAGCTCACATTGCATTCTACATCATGCCAAAGTTTGAGTGCGCCATGATGAATGAGAGTGAAGTTATGCTACCAGTTGCAAAACTTAGTGTTCAACCTAATATTATTTTTGTTCGGAAAATATCTCCACAACTGAATGATGCTTCTGTAAATGGCTGGCTTTTCCTTACAATCATTTTGATTTCGTTGTCTTTGGAGGTAAGAGCAGTATTGCGATGCAATGTGGTATGTGCTTTTGGTACAATCTAGAACTATGGGGGGAGATTTCTGACTTTTTCAGTTATTTAGTAAATCTTCCATATACCGACCACCAACAGGTGCACTAAACGTGCAGGCAACTCCAACGGCACAGCCAGCAGCCAAGCATTCGGCCCTTCTTGTCTCGCTTGCAAATGCAACATCGAATTTTGAAGCCAAAATCGCCAATTGGTTGGACACCACCGACCCAATGTGTACAAACGGACCCTAGAATGAATTGAAAAGCTCAAAGTACTCCTTCGGCTTAATGGATAAGCTACCAGTTTTCCGATTGGGATTCCACTGGCTAACGCCATGGCGACACCAAAGACTTTTGACACCAATGTCCGAAATGTCAAGTAGTCCTTCAGCCGCACTCCACGAATTATCGTCTTCATTTCAGGAATACCAGATCCTTCAATAAAACTTGCTGAGCAGCGTATATTGCGGTCGTGTCAATCTATTGTGTTTTTAGAAAAGAGGAATCTGCAGCACCTTCACCTGGCTTTTAACTTGCAAATATTGGGAGGTGAAATCAGAGAACTTTTTTTGAAACAAAACAGCCTGAACCACCATTGTTTTGATCGTGAAAGAATGAATCGGAGTAGGGTTTTGTGTTGAGTTTCAGTACATACAATGCTGCTGCGGTTACATAATTCTGAATGATCAATATTTTTCGATCTATATGTTACACATAACATCGTAGATTGGAAGCGATTATACAAAATCCTGATCTTGTAATTGTTACTCAATCAAGCACAGCAAATTTTCAATATGAAGCAACCCAACAAGTGTAAAAAAATTTCTCACCCTTACTTTTTTCGCACGCTAGGAACTATGCGCTGTGGGCGCTTAGTAATTGAAACAAAAAGCTATTTACTTTCAAATTATTCTCAACCTCGCTCTATGGAAATGGTGATGTAACGAAGAAAACTGGGAAACACATAATGTTTTGACACAGAAAACGTGCGCCAAAATGTCAAAAGAAAATGAAGAAATATGATCTAACAAAATCTGCACGATATTCTGATGAGTACAACACAGAGTCTATGCAAAATTAAGTTTACATAGACTATTGAAATTTCCTGCAATAAGAAAATGAGCAATTGTCACTTAAAAATCAATCGACCTTCTTCAAGAAAGAGTGGCCAAACTGTTTTGCAAGCAATTTTAGCAATTCTTTATAGTGTGAAGTTCAATACGCATGCACTCTACTACAGCTCTGCAAGATAAGCAAGTCAGTGCATCAATCTGTAGTTTTTGAACGGTAAACCACTTAAAACAGTTGAACTTTGTGAAGACCTCTATCTAGACCGATAGATTTTGATATAAATGTAACGGTAACATAGACCGATAGATCTTGTACTATAAAAATTTTACCAATTGCTTGTTGCGAGACATAGTGGGTAAATGTAGCAGCACAACATGTTAATCCGACCATATACGTACACCACGAGAAAAAACTTAGAATCCAAGTCCACATTGGGATTTTGCTCTCAATCGAAGGATACGTCAGTGCTTGCACTAAAATGAGCTTCTTGACAACAAAATTGAAATGACTTGCGTAGAAAATTGTGAAGTCATCAGGAAAAGCTAAGAAAAGGTCTGGATTGAAGAACTATATGTTAGACAAAATTTCTAATTTCCTAATGGGTTACAATCAACAAATTCAGAAATCTGTTTTTTTTTCGACAATGAGACCCTGTGACACAAGAATATGCAATGTTCTGCATAGTATATATCTTGTTTTGAATGCAGCAGAATTAGTACAAAGAAAATTCTACAAAAATACTCGATAATTCTTTGAAAAAATTTCTTACCTTCTTGACAGTAATATATTATCATATCTACGAGTATAGACAAAAATGCCGTACAAACGCCTAGTACGGCTAAGTATATCCAATCAGATATGATATTCTTCACATTGTTCGTGTTCACATCTGCAACAATTCTTGTGATAAGACATATTTCCGTCTATTCAAATAAATGGAACAAGTGGTTTGGCGCTAGTTCGTTTATGGCTTTTGTATTTAAACTTATTTGAGTTTACTCATTCTCCGACAAAGTTTTAATGAGCGACACTTACGTCGTTTAATTGGTGGCAGCTCAGTCGGATTACTGTAGAGAGAAAATCGTACGGATTTCGTAGATAGAGGTCCGGTTGATCTTTTCATCCCCATTTGCCCAGAAGCATCCTCTTGCTTCTTCTGCAAATCTTGCATTTGCAGATACTGCAATAGTCTTGCAGAAGTCCAAATCTGATTGAGAATGTAATGAAAAATTAAGCGTGACAGGCAACGAACTTACAGTATCCTTGATGCCCTGCTCCACATCAGCATCTTTCAGATCGTTATGCAATCGGCCGTTCATCTATTCACAAAAATACTAGCAAGCGGATTCCGCGCTTATGTACAGTGAAATTACAGACTTAAATAGTTGAGGTGGGCTTTAACAATAGTGAGGGCTAACTATGAATATTTGACTTAGCACGATTGCAGGGACGAGATGGTTCCTCGGCGCTTGGTGTTCAGAATATAGAAACTGGAGAAAGATGCATAGTAGCAACGAACATGTCTGCACTTCTGTTGAGTTTAGTTTTCTCTGCAATCACTATCTCGCGACTTTGTTTCTGATAATCTCGCAAAAATTTCCATACGAGGACGTTTCTCTCACCTGATTCAACGGTGTCGCTCTCCATTTCTCGCCTACTGTTTTCGTATTGAAAACTCCGGCGGTAAATGATATGCAAATTCGTTTTAATCCCCAACATCGCGATTCCAGTGATTTCCAAATGATTACAATCAATCGTTCGCAGCGATGCAGAATGACCATCGTTTAATCCAACAATGGACTAAAGTGAGTCTTAGTCATTGAAGGTCGGCAGATGGAATTCGATTGGAAGCGTTAAAAAGCTGATAATCTTCTACAGCAAAAATCCTGCATCTCAAGAAGAATTGACTGTTTAGTTTTATTTTTAGGTCGAGTTTTATTTCAAATCTTCTCAAAAAATATACGCTATTCTTACACGTGCCCGAAATACAAATATCGATGCTATGCTCAGCAATTGAGCCAAATACCAACGACATGTGTGCATTAATGCTAGATGTAAAAAACCCGAACTTAGTGACGTATTGCCCTCCCGCTCTCGGATTATTTTGAGCTGGGGTCGAACTGTTTTGACTAGTGCATACACTTCAGCGAGTCTGAATGATTTTTGATTTCAATATCTTGCGGCGTTAACATTCTAGCTCATAGTGAGCTAAAATGATTCGATCACAAGGCGAGGAATTGATCCGAAGCAATACGTCCGTTTGATTTGGTTCAGAATGCACAGAAACCAGCACGATAGGTATTGCAATAATCATAGTCGAATCTTCACACGTACTGACAGGGAAGTTACGCTTGATTGGAGGGACGCCGACAAAATCCGCGCTGCGGACTTTGTCGGCGTCTCTCCAATCAAGCGTAACCTTATCCCTCCTATTGTCCGCTGCCTCTTTCACTACCTTAGTCGGACGCAACGGCAGTTGCAGTCTAGATTCTCCTCCAGCAAATTTCCCATGTCGATTGCAAAAATAGTGATTGCGCAGAGAACCATTCTAAAAATCACCTTTGTTCCCACTGGAAGGAATTTCGTAGAACTGTCTAGAGAGGTCCCCGTTCATAAACTGAGAAAAGAAAAGTTGGGCGAAGCACTGCCTTTGCTTTGTCTCTACCCCTACATAAATTCCCTTTTTTAGCTCACATAACATTCCGTTACCTCACCATTCGAAGTGCGGATTCGAGAAACTAGGTATTTGATGGTTTACACAAAATGACATGGTCCGTTCGGAGCCTGCACATTCATCCCAACGTTGCTCGGGTGGCAGCCTTTTGAGAAGTTGCTCTGGAGAAAGATTCTTGGTAATCACTAGGAACGACAGGAAAAAGGGATCCGATAAAGATCCAGTAAAAGAATGCAGGGTTACTGAATGAATCACGAACTTCCTGCATGTTCTACGAAATCTGTATTCAATGAGACTTTAGCTCTGTCTCAGCTTGAGCTCGCCTACTGAATTTGCTTATGTGAAACATGCAAAGATGACTTGATATCTCAATCATCCAGGCTATGTCGTAGAGGCATTGTACTGGCGAATCTCACTCGTTAGCAATTTCACCTACCTGGGGTTATAAGCTAAATCCGAAATCACGCGAGAGAGCGTGGGTCAAAATCACAATTTGAATTTGGAAACGATTCCCGCCAAGCCTGAGCTGCAGAGTCGTTGTAGGACCTTGTGCCTAACTGTGGCGGCCTGAGGCCCAGAGCATGCACGCTACTACCCATCAGGGTTCAGTTTCTCAACGTTCAGACCGTATTTATCGCTTTTTGTCTGACGTTCTAGCCTTTACTTGCGATACCGTGTGTGGGGAGGACCCTTTTACGGCACTGAAATTTCGAACTCGCAACCTTGGCCACTAGTCTCAAGTATTTGGACGTTCTGAGTTCGGTTTGCATGCATGCAGAAACATGGCTTTTGTAGAGATTATTGTATCGCTGACCTTCAGACGAATGTAATCATCTAACTGTTTTTAATATTAGGATTCTAGCTAAAAAAATGGTTGCCACCAGAGTAGGTCATGGAGACGCATCCGAAGAAGAGCCATTAGTTCTTCCTGTCATAGGTAGCCTTTCTGGCGCTCATGAAACAACTCTTCTCTGTCTGGTTTTAGATGATGATGATGCGGGTTCTACCGGAAGCGAGCTAAGCGACGAGGATTTGGTTTCCGATGACTTTGAATATTCAGATGACGAACAAAATATAGACAGATGAGTTGACGATTTAAGATTTATTGTCCGATGCCCATCAGGTCGTCTCCTACGTGGAGCTGTCCGAAACTGAGTGTTAAATCGGGCGACAAAAAGGGTTCGTGTCATCTAATGATTGCTCAACAAGCATCGGTATGCGTTCGCAGAAACTGGTGCTGTTATGACTGGTGTCCAGGATAACTTTCTTAAGTATAGCTGCACAATGCAGCATTAGTTTCTAAAGACTCACCGTCCACCGAATTTATTTCAAGTTTTTGTTCTTCTTAGCACCTGGTTCCCAAGGACCCTCTCTTAACACATTCACGACAATGCGACCCACCAATGGGTCGTACGTGTTCTGCCATTTCGGACAATACGACCCACCGGTGGGTCGTATGCCTTCTGAGGTTTCTCATTTTGCTATCACGGTTAACTTTTTAGACAGACCGAGTAAATTTCTGTATACATCTTTTGAAGCACTTCCTAAAAAATAACATTCCAGACCACAGAAGCCATCAGTGACCTGAAAATATTAGGTAAACTCAATTTTGCGAAATATGCTCTGGTCGAAATGGCAGTCATCGAAAAAACGGCCCTTGTGAATGTGTCAACCCATTGACGACGATGTGGACCACCGGTGGGCATATCCCCTGCAAAATCATATCCTTTCCAAGTCTAGTATTTCCCCCCAGTTCAGTATTTCTCCCGATTTTTTGCACTCTTGGAGCCTGTAGACTTCGTCGTCCAAGAGGATGATTGAAGTCATTTACAAAACAACTTTACGTCTTTTAAATAATCACAAAACTTCCCCACGCCGAAAGTGTTGTGCAAAATCGCGTCGTCCCGCAGCACCGCCATGCAAAAGTAGGCGTCGCCGCCAATGGGTTAATGGCAGCGTCCTGGCTAATCTGTACGTATGGAGATCTCATGTGGGGTAACTTTGGGCTCTTAAACCATTGCCCAACCGGCAGCTCAAGTAGTGCTCTAACGGCTGAGATATTCTCCCCGAAACTGACCCCACGATCTCGTACGTTCTCTGTTCGTAATATATGACCCCACGATCGTCTTTCGCATGGATTCATGGCACAACCCACCAGTTTGGCGTGGGTCCTCGCGCAGAACTGATAGATGCGCTATGATTCCATGCAAAAAGCGATCGTGGAGTCCAGTTTGGAGGCGTATATCTCAGCCGTTAGTGAGTCACCTGTGCTGCCGCTTGGGCAGTGCCTTAGGGCCCCAAAATTACTTTCCATGTAAAAATCCCATAGGTCCAGGTTTGCCTGGACGCTGCGTTCAGGAGGGTGGACGAGTTTCGAATTGTTTGACCCTGTGGCATGCCAGCGAGGAGCAGCTGCAACTGCATGACAGCTTGCAGTTGCAACTACAACTGCAGCGTACGCGTACAGCTTACGCTGTCGTGGATTCGTTCGAAGGAGGCGGACCGCAAAAAAGGGGCGGAGCGAAAGAAGAATCAGCCGTGTTTTCTCCCCTTACAAGGGAAGGATTCTGGTGAGTGGCCTTTTGAAATGAAACGTATGCTATTAAATGTATGTTGAAGCGTTGATTTCAAATTTGTTTTCGTTATCTGCTGTGCACTCTTCCGCAAGAAGTTATGAACATTTCTTGCCACCAAAATGTGCACTGTTTTTGATGCAGGATTCACCAATATCGTTAGAATGTTCGCTTATGCACTGCAAAAGGAGCGTTCAAATAAAGTAAAGTTTTACGTTGAGCTCAGAAAAACTGACTCCGCTATATTAGAGTCTGGAAAGCCTAGATACTGACGATTCTGACCGTAAAATCGATATGGAAAATGTCCATAATTTTCAGAGAGGCGCTCAGCAGATCTACTGGTATACATCCCGTTCCAAAAGGCCACGGTCACTAAGTATCCCTTCCTCGTTAGAAGCAACATTGGGAGACCGGACCAACGCAGTTGGTTTTCTTCTGGGCTCTACATATACACCGTATAGAGAACTGGGTAGCATAGATTCTGGCTATACGCTGCCTTTGAAGGCATTGTCCGGGCAACAACTCGACTTCTAGAAAATCCACTTAACGGAGGTTATCCGCAACGCTGAATCCGAAAAACCACAGTAGAAGGCGCGAAAACGGTGATAACATACGTTTTTCCAGAGCCGCACAATTTGAAATTCGATGGTCCCCACCAAGGCAACGACGCAGAGTCGCTGCGACAACCGACATTGCTGTGGCGGCATGCGTGCGTAGCAGGAATTCGGGGGTAGAGGACATGAGGTCGCCGAAAGGGGCGGTTCCACACGGACATTTGCAACAAACCGCGCACTTTCACCACTACTGCCTCATGCTTTCTGTCCGCGTGGGTGGAGCCTAATGGCGACCTAATGTCCTCTGCCCGGAATTCGGACAGCTCGGAGGACCCCGCCCCAAGGCGTAAGCTTCCCCGCTTTCCGGTCGTTTTTCTTGTTTTAGGTCGAGCGCTATGACGTCGCGCTTGCGCGACGTTGTGTCTGAGGAGGGCCACCCTCGCATGGCATGAAATCCCAATAACCCCAAATGCACGTACACTACGTTTAAAAGCAGTGGATCAGCAGAATGGACCTCTGTCAGATCTTGGTATGTTAGGTAGTAGACCTCCGAATACACCGGTCCCAATCCCACCCTCATGCTCTAAGTCCTGTAATGGAGATTCAAAACTCCACCAGCCCTCCCCCCCCCCCCCCACTTCCATTGAGTGGGCGTCATTGGTGGGGTTTTGAAGCGCTTTTTCAGGACTTAGCGCATGAATTGGGGGATGGGGTTGGGGCTACGGTGTATCCGGAGGGGGGTCTATACTACCTAACACTACCAAAATTTGACAGAGGTCCATTCTGCTGATCTACTGCCTTTGAATGCAGTGAATCGGCAGAATGAGACCCGTGGCAAAACAAGGTCACAAGGTAGGGGCCCCATTATGGAACCTATGGGCCAAAGTTCGATCTTTCTCTGCCATTTCTAACCCATTTCAAAGCGAAAGCAGCGCTCATCACCTCTCCTCTCCGACCCTGCCCACCCCACGGACGAGTGAGCGCGAAGCCCGCCATGGCGAAGACGAAGAGTCGTTGGGGAAGGAACCTTTGTGCTTATAGCACTGCGGCATGCGCGCTCTGACGTGGAAGTCACTCGTCCATGGGGTGGGCGGGGTCAGAGAGGGGAGGAGATGAGCGCTGCTTTCGCGTTGAAATTTCGGGGGTTAGGCCCCCGCCAGAGTGCCGAAGCCATGCCAGCGCTACGCCAGTGCCGAGCCAGCGTTTCGATCGATACACGTGTATTTCGTTGGGGTGAGGCTAGCTGACCCAGTTCTCAGCAGGTAGATGTCCTCAACGAAATATACTTGTATCGATCGAAGGCGTAGCGCTGGCATGCTTCGGCACTCTGGCGGGGGCCTTAGAAGTGGCAGAGAAAGATCGGACTTTGGCCGATAAGGTTCCATTATGGGGGCTCCTACCCTGTGATCTTGTTTTGCTACGCTCATTCTGCCGATCCACTGCCTTTAAGCGTGTGCCATAAAAGCAGCGTCCATTTTAGTGTATTAATCTAGTAAACTATATTCACTTGATGTTTTCAGCAGTGTACCCAATCCTCAAGAAGACGCTTCGTCACAAGTAAGCTCGATAATTTTCACTATTGTGCAATTAAAATTCATTGTTCTAGGAATTTGACGATATGGTGGATGTTTTCGGTCGTCACATACCCAGAAACCGAGCGGTTTGGTGAGCGATCTCCCCATACAATGTATCTCATCATAGATCCTGGTCTGTAGGCGAGCCACTGGACCATTCAGAAACTACAATGTTTTGACTGCGGAGGAAGTTCCATTGCCAACGGATAAGGTTCTTGATTTTTTTGTGAGTCAAGGACAGGGGAAGCATCGTGACGTCTAGTAATTTTCAAGCATACATAGATCTATAAGAGCTTGGAGTACATTGCATTTCTCATGTTGTGGAAAAATTAAGTACTGAGGTAACACGCAGAAACGGAGTAAAGGCTACTGCATGGCGATCGCGCAGTAACAATATTAGTTGAGCGGGTGCAAATGTGACGCGCGCATATCTTCACCGTTACAAATCCTGCGCCTCGCCGCCTGCGCTCTGCGGCTGACAAAGCCGCGTTCGCTCCCAAAGATATCGCACCTTCGTCATGCAGCAGCCTGTATGTTTGCAAATGAGTATTCAGTGTAGAAATAATGAGTGTATGATGCGGCGACCATATGTCAACGAGAAACTTGCATTTAAACAAGTTTGCTCGGTTACATACAGTCTGTCTCACTTGCAGCATCCCTTTCGTGCGGCTACGTATCCACAGCGCGAAGGCCTCCGTGCAGCTGCTTTCGATCGATGTGATCGATTTGAGCGCGCGAAACATCCTGGTGCTGATGTGCCGATCGAACGGAGCTGAGCCAGACTGTATTAGCCGAGGTTGACTGGGTGTATGTCAAGAGGCGGAATTGCTACTGCCAAATGGGCAGGATATAGCACATATTTAGTGTTTTATAAAATTCCAGAATAATTTGAAATCTCAAAAGAAATATACCAGATGATTACACGGATTGTTCCATCTTGTCATCTTAAAATCGATGCTAGACAAGATTGTTAAAGGTCAAAAACCCATGGAAATGCAGTTAATATCAATTTCGTAAATATTCCAGTCCTCTCTAGCAAAAGTCGTCAAACTTATCAGGTGATTACCTCAAACAGCTAGTAAGCCAGTGGGCTTTGTTCGGACTTTTTGAACACTCCCATAGCCCGGAATTGGAGTTTTAAGTTGCTCTCAGCCGGCAAATCGCGCCTCTTGACCGTCTCCCAGGTTGACTGCTCTCATTACAACGTAGATAGATACGGTGTAAAATTTGGCTACAAAGGTGACTGCACTTCACTAAACTCGCACAATGAAAGGATACATTTAGGCAAAGATTGTTAAACTTCCAGTAGAGTTGGCCGTTTCGGTTATGGATTTGGTAAGTGAGCCAATTATACGAAAATTTTAATCTCCTAACGAGTTTGATTAGCATTGTCGTGCTCTTCAAGGAAGTGAGGAAGAAATTTTGAAGAAACTTTTCTCCAAACCTAAAATTTATGTGTACGGCACCGGTTACGAGGTATGTCATCTCATTCGTATTTGTCACTTTTATGCTTTTCTGCTTTTCTTCGCTTCCGCTGATCAGAGTTCTATACAATAAAAGTGTTACTTTACTGTTTGACTATGAATCATTTTAGGTTGCTGCAGACGTATGGGCAGTGTTTTGTGATCCTAAATACATCCATGAGGTCACCACATCCGACCTTCAGTCTGTAATTTGTGCTGCTCTGAATTCTCGTCGTACACTCGCTTATGTCATCGGTGTGAACAAAAATAGAGAGGCAAATAATTTTTTCAAGTAATGGCGTCTGGATGCGGTGCAGGAGGAACCAAAGGCCTGCCGCCTGTAGCCATGGGAGATAATTAAAAGCGAGCGCTGTGGACAAGATTTTGGCAACGATCCAGGAAAACTTAGCGAGAACATCCATTAAAAACAAACTCTTATAACTCTCCTCCTGCACCACCCCCATGGCGTCTACAAGGCTTATCAGTTGCAGAATCGGGGGGGCCAACATCTCCGCTCTCGCGCGGCCGCTGCCTCGACTCTGCGCCTCCATCGCGAACATGCTCTCTGATTAGTTTCCCACAACGAGCGTGGGAAAGGCGGAGCCGCAGTCGATCGGGAATGATCAGAGAGCATGTTCGCGAAAGGCAGAGGCGAGGCGGCCGCGCGGGAGCGGAAATGCTATGCACCCGACCTGTCACTGATGTGCCCTGTACCTATTCCTACTTCATTCTCTTTAAACTCGCGGCAATGCTTTGCGCGCGCACCTGCAGCGCAGACCCTAAGCGAGAGCGAAATTAAGGCCGTCGTGATCCCGATTTGGACGGTTGTGATATGCCAGTTGTGGCTTTTCGAAGGGTTCTCGGAAATCACTTCCTAAAATATACCTGTTATTGAAGTAGCTGTCAAATTTGTCTTCGAGTCAGAGGTGCGATAGTGGGAGCCGATTCTGAGGACCGGCCCGCCGCCCTTCACCGTCGGCTCAGTACGCGTCGCGGCTCAGCGACGCGTGCACCCGTATACTCGTTCCATTAGGCATGAGGGAATTTTGCGCAACTGTTCTAAGCTAGCAGGGGAAAGTTTTTCAAACGTTATCTCTGTGCGTAGATTTCGTTATGGCTCCGTTTGGCGGAGGAGTCTCCAGTGGGCTGGGTGGAGAATTAGTGATGAAAAGTCTCCATCCCGGGGTTAAAGCCGCAAGAAGCACTGACCCCCCCCCCCACACACACACACATCATATATCATCTGAAAGCCCTTGAAGAGGAGAATCTAAACTATGAAGTCGCAACATTATTCATGCAGTTCTGAAGAGGTTAAGGGCTGTTAAATCTTGAAAAACGATTTTTCAACTGTTTTTCAATAGTCTGGCTCTTGGCGATGTTTCAGTGGGTCGGTGCAGGCAGATTCTGCTAGGGCAAACCGTATTCTACAAAACCTATGAAGTTGCAACATTCCACACCTTCACATTCCAGATTTATAGGAGTCTAAATGTCAGCTGTCTCTAAGTTACCTAAAACGGCGGAATTTTTCAAAATTCTCGTTTTCGGCGGCCGCACTTTAAATCGATTTGATTCTTTCACTATCTGGTAGAACAACACTTACCATTGAAAACCTATGAAGTCGCAATCGCTGATATCTTCAACCACAAGATTTGTGACACTGGAAATTTCGCATGATTTTTCGTTAATTTATTGTTCGAAATTCTGGTTCTCGGCGGTCACTGCCCCTGGATCGACCTGCTTTCTTCGCAGTATGTTATAACAAAATTTACTTAACCAAATACATAAAGTCTAGCTAAGTCTCACTTAAAGATACCCTCCCCCCTCCCTGGTCGACGTTGACGTGAGTTTTCGGCACTACTACCTTCACTTTGGCGGTAGTGGTAACTGGGACCTCCTTCTCTTTTGGAGGGCCCGGCTCCCCCCATCGCAGCTCTCTCTGATTATCTTTGAACGCGCCTTGATATATCAGATGGTAATGAAGACGCTAGTATGTCATGGAAGTTTCCGATATGATGCTTTGATTCCAGGTAATTGGATGCATTTTGTCTCCACAGCAGAAAGAAACGATAATGGAGGTGTTCGATGATTGCATTCATACCGAATTCGTTCCTCCTTTGGATGAGGGACTCGTAAAGCTTCGTTTCCGTTCTGTATGCGACCAGTTCGCACGTGAGATACCATCACGTTTCCTGGTTGAAATTACCATCAAAATTAGGGTCACCGATGTAAGTGATCTGTTGTATTCAAGAGATCGCATTAGCATGATGTATCTCAGCTTTATCAACTGTCATCTTCAAGAATTTACTATGTTGATAACAATGCTGTAAGGCTGATAAGAAGCCTCACAGAGGTAAGTCGGCTCACTATAGTACGATATGTACTCTGTGGGTTCTAGGCTCGGAACATGTTGTTGTATCGTCGTCAGAAGGAGTTCGCTGCAGCTACAGAGAATGGTGGTCGGCTTATGTCAGTAGACTAAATTTTTTTTAACAGAAGTTTTTTACCAAACTATCAAAATCTCGAAATAAATTCAGTCGCGTGCCATGTCTCAGAGTACCGGAAGAGAAGAGCTACTTCTCCAAGCTCTTCACCTCTGCTGTCATTTGTCTTTCTGCCTTCATCCTCGGTGTGATCGTGTCCATCTATTGGCTGTAAAACCTAAGTTTGGCTTTTTTACCAAACCGTCAAAATCTCGAAATAATTTCAGACGCGTGCCATGTCTCAGAGTACCGGAAGAGAGGAGCTACTTCTTCAAGCTGTCCGTCTCTGCTGTCATTTGTCTTTCTGCTTCCATCCTCGGTGTGATCGTGGCCATCTATGCCATCTAAACTTAGGTTTTACAGCAGCTTGGCTGTAAAACCCAAGTTCGGCATAGACGAATGTTCTTGACGTATGAAGTGTTTCTGTAACCTGGTTTTTTAGTTGCAAAAGCCTTTGTTTCCTTTTTTTGGTGTAATTCCGTTGCTGATAGTTCTTACTAAGTTGTCTGTAAAATAATATCATAAGTTACGAATGAATATTTTTGTCTCTAAACGCATTCTCGGCAAAATCTTCATTCACTACTTTTTTGGGTATTTCTCAGATATTGCTGAGGAAGCTTAGTGCCACTTCAGCTTAGTTCCTCTTTATCATTGTTTTCAAATGAATAACCAAGCTCTAAAAAAGATTAGTGGATATCATAGAAACCATCATTTGGTCTATCTGTACTAATCAAATACAGTTTTGAGAAGATCTCACCTCAAAGGAATTGTGTGCCAGTCAGCATGCAAATGTTGGAAATGGATCTCATGACAGAAAATCTTGCTATTCACCAGCAGTCATTGATATAGCCTAATTTCCTTGGATTCTTTTCATCTATACCCATGAACGTCCACGCGCTTCCTTGTCAAAAAGTGTTTTTTTTTTGTGCTTTTGCTGATATTTTGAGCTGTTCAGCTGGTCATAATTGGCTGCAGAAAGCTGTTGACGAACTTCAAGTGGTCACAGAATTGAGGTCTTCCTATCCCCAAAGAAAAAAACCAAATACTTCACATGTGAACAGGTAGTCCTAATTAGGTGTATTCAGTGGGTGGAAGCTCACTAGAGCCAAAGGTCAGAGATTTGAGGTTATTCTAAAACTTTGATATTGTAGCAGATAGTCGACAAAGGTTAGCGGTAGGGTACGATCTATTTGAGCACTTCCGACAGTAATCCGGGACTTCTTTCAGAAGCTCACTAAAGTAATTTGGGCCTGTGCTTGAGTACGGTACTTTATATAAAAATCCGGTAAGTGTAAACTTTAAATGAAAAATGTGAGCGGATTCCAGATAGTACAACCCATGGTAGAAATCATAGGCTTTCTCGCATACATTAGTCAGTCAGTTTTAGCACAAATAGTTCTGCACAAATACGCAGATGGAGTCTCTTCATGATATAAATGAAATGGAATTTGCTCAGCTGTTTTTTTTATGTTAAGCGACATGGGCGTAAATATCTCGTACGTTGTTTTCCTTCCTTTTTACGGTCAGCTAGCACTGTTACGTTAGTGGCCATTACTTATAATTTTAAATGCCCTGAGTGTTACTCTACGGTAAGCCCGGTTCGACAGGGTTCAGTCGGTATACCTGTCAATCCGAAGGTTCCGGGCATACCTCTCGGTGTTGGGCACACCAATGCACACTCGGCCGACTGGTGTGCAACTACTACATGTTTGTGTAAATGCTACTACGCTGTACGGCTGATCCCTGAAGAAGAAAGCTGCCTTTTGACTCAATTGTTATATACTATGTGGTAGACTGCGTCTGTTTCAGTGGTTATTCATGGTACTAACCATTTGTTGAGTTGACCACTCACTCATACTGATTGATTGTTGTAGCGCACAACATGTGCACGAAATAAATAAATAAATAACCTTTGATTCAACTGTCTTGGCTTCGGGAAGGCGATTTGTGACCTAGTCAAGGCCGCTCGCGCCCGCGACGCACCTGCGTCTCTCTCGCGCGGGTGTTCTCTGACCACCAGCTAGCCTTAATTAGGTCACGGAGCCCCGCCTTCTCGAAGCCAAGCCAATCGAATCAAATGGTATACGCAGTTTCATTGGCTGTCGTTCTACTGTGCAATCAGTGCATCCCACCTCACGAGCTAAAATCCCTTGAATTCCGTAATATGAAGCTGCATCGCTGTTGATTGCCCAACAGAGGTGAGCGTAGAGATGGTTTTATGTCGAATCCGATATCTACAGGTGCGAGGTTGGTCATAGATTGCTCTCATGGGCTCCGTCTAGAGTGCCGGAGCTGTGCCGACGCCCAGCTATTCAGACAATCGATCGGACCCCTCCGCCGGACAGTCGAAATCTGCCAGAGTCGCGCCGGACCCAGTTGACCACTGAGAGCGGGGCGATTGGGCGGTCCCTTCTTGTAGGTCGCGGTGACATCACTGGCAGGCGAGTGGGACCCTTCTCCGGCCCTGCTGCAAAGGTACCCATTTCTGCTCCGGAGGTACGCCAGATTTGGCAGAGCCGCGCCGGAGAAATTTGCCCGCCTCGAGTCCGCCAGATTTGGAAGAGCCGCGGAGCAGAAAATCGGAGGGGTCCGGAGCACAAATGGGAGGTCTCCGGAGCACAAATGGGAGGGCTCCGGAGCAGAAATGGGAGGGCTCCGGAGCACAAAATGGGAGGGCTCCGGAACATAAAATGGGAGGGCTCCGGAGCACAAGTGGGAGGTCTCCGGAGCACGAAATGGGAGGTCTCCGGAGCAGAAAATGGGAGGTCTCCGGAGCAGAAAATGGGAGGTCTCCGGAGCACAAATGGGAGGGCTCCGGAACACAAAATGGGAGGGCTCCGGAGCACAAGTGGGAGGTCTCCGGAGCACGAAATGGGAGGTCTCCGGAGCAGAAAATGGGAGGTCTCCGGAGCAGAAAATGGGAGGTCTCCGGAGCAGAAAATGGGAGGTCTCCGGAGCACAAATGGGAGGGCTCCGGAGCACAAAATGGGAGGGCTCCGGAGCACAAATGGGAGGGCTCCGGAGCACAAATGGGAGGTCTCCGTAGCACAAATGGGAGGTCTCCGGAGCACAAAATGGGAGGCCTCCGGAGCACAAATGGGAGGTCTCCGGAGCACAAATGGGAGGGCTCCGGAGCACAAAATGGGAGGCCTCCGGAGCACAAAATGGGAGGGCTCCGGAGCACAAATGGGAGGGCTCCGTAGCACAAATGGGAGGTCTCCGGAGCACAAAATGGGAGGCCTCCGGAGCACAAATGGGAGGGCTCCGGAGCACAAATGGGAGGTCTCCGGAGCAGAAATGGGAGGGCTCCGGAGCATGAGTGGCAGACACCCCGCTGGGAAACCCCGCGGCCCTGCCATTTCTCCGCCGGAAGGGTCCTATCCGCTGTCTGAGTAATAGCAAGCTGTTTTGGAGCTGTTTTCGATCAATACAGTTGAGGGCGGGTCTAGCTGACCTCTAGGCAAATCTGGTTATTGATCAAAATCCTCCGGCACTCTAAATGGAGCCGCTTCGAAATAAACACAAGTACAACGTAAACTGTTTCCTGATCTGTCAAGACCCTATTGCATGAAGGCTCCCGCCAGAGTGCCGAAGTTATGCCAGCGCTATGCCAGCATTTCGATCGATACACGTGTATTTCGTTGGGGACATCTACCTGCTGAGCTAGCCCCGCCCCAACGAGATACACGTGTATCGATCGAAATGCTGGCGTAGCGCTGGCATAACTTCGGCACTCTGGCGGGAGCCGAACAGTTCATCAGGTGTTCGCATACCGCACATAAATTTACTGTATAACAAAACCCTCAAACAGCCTAACCCTGCTTGCGTCACGCAGTCCGGCGCTCACCTTGAAATGTTGCTGACTGCATTGCATGGACAGCTGATTGCCATGTTGATTGAGCGAAGTTCACACTAGCACTGATAAAATAGAGCATGTGCTCTTTCTGCTTGCCATCACTTGGGCAGGTTTTCAACAAACGTTGCTTGCTTCGCAGAACACATAGTATCTTACTAGTCGAACTAAATTACGCAAAGGCAAAATAGCTTTCGCACTTTGCAGTTTACAAAAGTTACATGGTTTAAACTAGGAGACTAAAACTTCAGCATAATGTTCTTTTGAATGCGCTTCCCCTCTCAGCGGGGACTTTCATGTGGCAGCCCTCAAAGGCTTTAAAGCTTGATTCAGTCCCGCAAAAGTATAGGCTATTGACCGCACGCAGAGACTGAACGCCTTTGCGTTTGGTCAAGATAGTTCGTGTGTGGAAGAGACGGCAGACGGCTAGACAAAAGAAATTACGTATGATCGATGTCGACATCGTCCGCACTGCGTTTTGTCTCTGCGTGCGCTGAATCGTCATAGATGCTCTACGAATCGTTATCTGTAGTGCACAATCCGCTGAACCATGCTTCTGTAACTCGTTCAAAATGTCTGAGACTTGGTCTCTAACTATTTTAGATTCTCTGACAGTTGTGCCAGAGCATTCAAAACAGCTATATAGTTTGCTTTACGATATGAATCTTGCAGGCAGCGAATAAAATAACACTGCCAACCTCTTTGCCAATGGTCTGCGAAAAAGTACAATTCATGCTACTGCGTCAATAGATTCTGCGATTGAATGTGTCCGGCGAGTAGTTGGACATTTTTTGGATTTTCAAGCTTTTGCAAGCAATGTCAGCCCGCATTCACCATCAAACACAAAGCATATTTAGTCCCGTTTATAAGCCGTTCAGATATGCGTACATATTCAAAGACTTTAGCGTTACCAATTGCCAGAATAAATGTGTTAACCTGCCCCGGAAAAGCTCTAAGCCGTGCATTTCTAAGACTCACAATCTAATCTGGAAACCTTGTTTTCATACGCACCAAATCCCCAATTCTTTATTGATTATGATATTCCGTCCTAAGAGTAGTGTCCCGCTCAACCGACACATCCGATTCGAGAATGCGTCGCGCGCCGTTCGTGGACGTTTGGCTTGAGCGAAGCATGCGTCATATATGGGACACTGTAATTGAGACTGACTATTCTTTGCAGGGCTTCTGTAACTCTCAGATTGCAAAGTTCTGACGTGTACCGCTTTTGAATATGGTTTAAGCCCGCTATCTCTGCTCTGGAATCACGGTGTCCGAACGAGTTTCGTTCGCATGATCCAGAATGTTCGCAGTCATGTTTTTATGTTGTTTACCTTCAACAGTGAGAAGTCAAGCAGAGGAGTCCCCTTGTCACTCTCAATCACTTGTTTTGTTTGGTCTGCAGAAGTTCAAGAAACTCAGCTTCAA